CAGTGCTAGGCGCCTTGGACATGTACACCGAAATCGGTCCTTGGTGGTAAACAGCCGTGTCAAGTGTGAAGGTAATCGAGTCGCCAGCCTTTACTCCGACGGTCTGCGTGTTGGCTCCGGAGGTACCGACATTGCATCGGAGATCATTAGAATCCAGGTCTATGACATAACTGTTAGTAGGCTACTCTATGAACGCTCTTAATAGGTAGACACACCAGTAACAGGAGAGTTGTAGTTCGTGTTCTGTCGAATGTACTGGAAGACTGGATACTTGGTCGACCCAACACTAAGCTGCTGGAAGATATAATGAGCAGATGTGCTCTGCACCAAGGCAACAACCGCTGCGATTGAAGTAGCGATCTTCATAATTATGTCTGGAGATGATGCTGATTGAGGCTGACCAAAGGAGAAGTTAGAGGTGGTGCAGGTTCAGGAGCGAGATATAAAAGAATGCTGCGGGTCGAACGGCACGGACTTATGAGTGATCACGTTCCTGATTGCAGTCTGGCCGTCGCCCAATGAGAATGATATGATGGTCCTCCATTATAGCTCCGTTATAGATTGAGTGGTCTCGATGCGTCAACTGACAACGCTGTCAAGTTCCGACAGCCCAAAAAGGGAAATGATGCTTATGAATCTGGTCAATGACAACCCACGACGGTCCAGATATGGATGTGATGGAGAAACAAGATTGTTCTTCTGGATAGCAAGATCTAGAGATGCGCGGGAGTTATCTTTCGTTGTGAGCCTCCATTGTCGTTCAGATGATAGCTATTACAACGGATTTTCTACGCGATGCTATGGTACATTCATTCAGCTTCAGCTTTTGTTTTGAAAAGAAATTGGAAGTGTATCGATGCATACAATACCGGTGTTTCGGATCTCGCTTGCAAGGACGTCGATGGTATCACCGGTTAAATTTGAATTCGGAGTGTGATCCTCCGTTCTCGGATCCGGGAACGTGGGCAGCCAACAATGTAACGTTCTTCAAGACTTTAGGCTTTTATTTATGTGTCGAAGAAGTCAAAAGTCCTGCCTGTGTGTTTTTGAAGGAATAGAGTCTCTTTTGTTGTAATTGAGACCGTATCTCACTGTCATCAGTTCTATGTGTCTCTAAAGACAGAATTCATTTATAAACAAATCCTGTAAAAAATCTCCAAATCAATTAATATTTGAAGATTCTTTATTCAGGCCGAGCGTCATAACCTCAGATGCCGTTGAATGAGGTTGCATGCAATTGGTGTTATTACGGTTTGGCACAGTGTCTGTCCTGGTAACCCAATTCGGAACGGGTAGTTCTGGGAAACACCTGCACCGAGGCTCACCGAAGTCTCGAAGAACAGTAGGTAGCTGAGAATAATCAAACGATGATCAAGGCATTCTTTGATGGTATCGAAATGGTCTACGACTCTGCCTGGAACCAAGACGACTCATTCTGTAGCCCCGCCCTGACGACCTGCGTAACAATGGCGATCTCCAGGGTAGTTCAAGCCAATGAAGTGACAGGACAGTCGTGTACAAAGGGAAACACCAAACCCCGCATCGCGCCACCAAATGAAGTGAGTCATATCGGCGGTTGTGGCTGCTGAATAAAAGAGGCATTGCTCTTCACAAATCCTGAAGCAGAAAGACACACTGCCCCTGATTGTATCTACAGCCAATAAAGTCTTCATCAAGCATCCCAGCCTCAATACGGGTCAGCATCAATCTATCACCACCAACCGAAACAACATCAAAATGGCAGAAGGAGCCTTGCCTTGCAGAGAGCTTGATCTCATCGGCAAAGTCGCAGTAATCAGCGGTGCATCGCGCGGCATTGGTCGCGCTATCGCCTTCAACTTGGCTTCACGAGGATGCTCTATCCTTGGTACCTGCGTCAGTGATAAAGGCGTCGAAGCCTTATCAACAGGCTTGAACGATGAGGCCACCGACCGTGTGTACAAAGCGACATCTAGAGAGCGTCCATCAGGTCAACAAATCAAAGGAATCATAGCTGATGTCTTCTCACCCGACTGCGCCAAAACAATTGCCGATGCTATCCAGGAGTCATTCAAGGGTCAAGTCGACATCCTTGTAAACTCAGCTGGTGACCCGATGCCTGGAGTTATCGGCCAAATGACTACAGAAGAGATCCAACGAAGTCTTCTAGGCAACGTCCAAGCCCCAGTGCAAATCGTCGAAGAACTTGTGCGCCGAAAGTTCTTCCAGCCTAACAGCCGTATAATCTACATATCATCAGTGCGTTCGCGCCTACCATGGGCCGATCAACTCATGTACGCCGCTGGCAAATCAGCCGGCGAGTCGCTGTGTCGAACATGGTCACAGGCCTTTGGTGGAAAAGATGATCGATACGCTTTCATGGCAGGGACTACTGCGAATGCTGTTACAGCTGGTTTGACGGAAACCGACGCTGTTATGGATTGTGGACCGGAGGTGGTCAAGACGTTTCAAGATGAATTCTTTCCCTTGCAGAGTATACCCAAGTTTGGACAGCCAGAGGATGTGGCTGATGTTGTTGGGATGCTTTGTGGCAATGATGGAAGATGGATTACTGGGTCTGTTATTAGTGCCAGTGGTGGCTGTATCAAGATGCAATAAAGCTCTAGCATATCACAAATGGCAAATTGGACAAGTACTTTCCCAAGTTTTTATTGACACAGAGTTTGCCAAAACAAGAAGACTATGGTATCTCTAAACAAAGAGGGAATGGCAAAATGGCCAGGATGATCTGTAAGCGTCAAGAAAACAACTGACATCGACCCGCAGCATTTACCTCCACAGAACGCCAATACTTCCGCCGACTTGGGTTGTCTTCAACCGAAGCTCGGCAAAAGCCTCAACCGCGAGCAAAGCATCCCGAGCCTGGTCCTCCCCAACAACCCCGCCGTCAACCAGATTCTTCAGGACGTCACGCACATACTGGCGATTGAATTGCGTCTCGCCTTCTGGGTTTTCCTCCGGAAGCACGGAACGAATTCGAGCTTCGACATCGCCAAGATTAGAGACCGGAATGCTGGCAACCTCAAAAAACTTGGAGCCTTCAGGGGGAGCTTCACCCTTGATCAGGGCGTAGCGAGCTTCATTCTGACGACCCTGGGCTGTGAGCCAGGTGTTGGTGCTGGGGATGAGGACAGCGACCATCCAGCGGCTGGGGACCTTAAATTTGATCTTGGGCATGAAGTCAAGAGCGGGGCTGGCAGCGATGAAGAGTTGGGCGTCTGAAAGGTTGGTCTCCTCGCTTGAAGGGAGCTTTATGCGGTCCGACATTTTGATGGTTTGTGCGAGGTTTGTTGGTACGATTGGTGAATATTGTGAGAAAGGCAAAAGTTTGACTGCCCGGCGGATAGATGTAAGTTGGTCTTGTTGTTGTTTTGCAAGTGGAAGACCAAGCTGCGTTTAAAGCTGTCTCATGTGATATAAAGATTTGATGTTCCTGCTGAACAGACCGTGTTGCCAGTGGTATCACGAATCTGCCGCTGTCTGAGACTCTGAACATGCACATTTCCACTGCCTTGTATGAACACGCTGATGCTAGGGCATGAACATCAAGCTTTCTAGGGTTTCTATTGTTTATGCTGTCGCATTGGCCAGATATCGTGGGATTAATGTCTAAATAGTATTCTTTAGGTGTTATTGGTATCTTGGACCTGTAACTTAGAGCTTATGCTCAAAACGCACAACTTAGTTTATAGACAGACATTAAAGGCTTTTCTGAGCACGTTTATTAGTCACTGTGGAGTAGTTTTTAGCGGAAGTTTATATTCTGGAAAATAACATCATGTCTCTATTCTTTGTGTTAGCAGGTTAGAGTTTAAAATTGTGCTCAAAAATTCATCTATGTATAACGCCGAAGCCAGTGTCTTGTAGAAGCACTGATACAAAACTGTATAAAGAGAAGCACAAACAAATTCGTTCCTCGAGAACCCCGGTTTTTCTGCCTATCTCAAATCGCTGTAGATGAAATTGGATCTCTGTACAGCTCATCTCAAGTTTGAAAAGGATCTTATCAGCTTTATTGCGACTTAATATACGACCAGCTACCAGCTTTCCCAGGATAGCCCGAACCCATTTGCAATTACACTCCCAAGTGCCATCTGCATCCTCAGGCTCAGTCGACCTAATGATGTGATTTACATCATCTAGCAGAGCTCTCTTGAAGCTGGCCACCTCGAAATACAGTAGTTGTCCATCTGGGTGCTCTATCGTTACCTGATCCCCCGTTATTCTTCTGCAAGGATCACCATCGACAAGAAGGCCTTGTTGCATCAACCAATGATATGGGCGTTGTACAACTACGCTCTAGAGGTTACGGGAGGCGAAGAAGAAATTGTCTGGAGGCAGGTCTAACTGCTCGTCGGATGAAAAGGGGTTCAGCACGATGTAGAGTTGAGTGCATGAGGGACTGCGAGGAGGTGGCTAGGACCGGTCGTGCATTGTTGATTAGTTGAAATGTATTGTGATGACGCGGGAGGATTGAATGATGAATGGTTGGGGTGGCAAGTCTGTCATTTGGAAATGTTGATAATTAGCTACATCTTTATAATCTTTTTTCCACGCTGAACATGATCATGAACTTCTCGTGCAACAATGAGCGGGCCCTACTATGGTTGTTGTTGCGAGCCACGGGACACTGAACAAGCTAGCAATTTGTATTTATTGTGTTTTCTTCGGACACTTTGGACTGTTTCTATGCAAAACATGAAGATCTTTGTTGCTGGTAGCTACTGAATCACGCTAGTAATAAATTCTTTGTTGAGGATGGTTTGTCGGACCAGTTGGCCGCTTTGGTTAATCTACGCGTGTCATAAATGAAGACCTACACACGTACTACCATTTACCAAGGGATCAAGGTTCATAGCAGTATAGACTATAGACTACCACGAAGAACCATTTGAACCTTGTCACTAACACAACTCTGACTACACCATGTAATAGGTATTGTTATATTTTCAGGCCTCTTATCAACCTTATTCCCAACGTCCAACTACCCCACTAACATCTCAGGTTGCCTCTAATTGAAGCTGAGAGCTTATATCAAGCTCCAATAACACATCACTAACCTGTGTCTTGCCGAGAAGGCCGCCAACGACCAAACTCTCCAGAACATCTCGCACATACTGGTGATTGTACTCCAAGTCACCTTTCATCTCAACGGCCGCGACGAGGTCAACCCGAACCTGAACATCTCGCAACCAAGAAGTCGGGATGCTAGTGATCTCAAAGTACTTAACGTCTTCGCCAGGACAACTGAAACTTGTGCTGACCTTAGGGCGGTCGGCTTGGCGAGCTTGAGTTGTTAGCCAGAGGCCATTGGCGTGGTTGAGAGTGGCGAAGCTCCAGATGTTGGAGGCGAGGACAATAACGAAGAGCTGGGCGTGCGATCTGCTTCTTGGGTTGGTCTCTTTACGGGTCAAATTGTTTAACATTATGACTGTCTGTAGTAGGTTTATGGGTAAGAGGGATGAGAAGATTTGCCTTTGGTTTTACGAAAATGGATTAAACAAGTAGTTTAGAAGGCAGTCGACTACATCGACATTTATTGACCATCTTGTACCGTCCAGCTTATTCATGAGAAATACTGAGGAACACGCGCTGCTAGCGTATGTCATATCGCTCTTTGTGAGCTTGAACAGGCAGACCAGTGGTATGTCGAACAAACAGGTTTGTAATAGCGGACATATATGATGTTCAGGTGTAGCGCTAAGTTTATGCTGGTGTCTATCTACGACACATGTTACTGCATGAATATCGTAGACATGCAATAGGTATTTGAGTTTCACTTGAACTTAACCAAGGCAGGTGCGCAAAATCAAGCACCTACCAATTCGACCGTCAAGAGGCACTTCGATAGTTCCACGTGTTCTTCATGCGGAATATGCTTATCTGCCACCACCAAAATGCCGCTGAAGATGTATTTGCCTTCGAAACTATAAGTGGCTGGGCTACAATGAGGAACTCGTAAGTTGAACCAATGGTCCGCAGACCTGACTCACTTATGCCCAGGACCCCCTACCTCCGCGTTATTTGAATGTTGGTCAAACTGTCAAGTCTACCAATTGTTAGAAAATGAACAAGCAAGCTACTGGGAATCAGCACGCCGTTTTTCAAGAGTGATACTGTTTTTGCGGTCATTGCCTAGTGCATGTGTATGAGGCGAGAGTTCTGGACCTGGGGTATGGAAGCGGGACGATAGCTCCGGCGCCATCACACAGCGGCTATTGGAGGAGGTGCGAACCCATGGCCTCGATTTCAGTTGGGCCATTTTAATAATATATTCAGATATTCTTGAAAGTACAGCATTCCTCACGCAAGTCGACTGATGATCCCTACCCCAGGAGCCCAGCTGAACATGGTATATTGGCGGTGAGCCGCTAGATTGGGCAAAGACAAACAGCATGACAATAGTCCTTCCTTTTCCTGTTCAGCCCGCATTTTCAAGCCCCTCTATGTCTTTGGTATATGGGCTTTGGCTGGCTGAAAACCCAAATTCGATATGTCAAGTGGCTGGCTGAGAAGCAAAGGATGGTCGAGAACCATAGCAAGCTTCAATAATCATGCAGCTGGACCAGTCGAGATCATCTCCACATAACGCCATGTCTCAATTTACGAGTTCACTGCGACGAAAGAAAATGGCTCTGCTACAGTATACAATTGATAGCTCGTATTCCCAACGGCGCCTATTTGTGTGCATGCTTTATCCTTAAGCATCCGGTGAAATATATAATAGCGCCGGCCAAGTTCCTCAATCAGTATCACCACTCAACATCTTTCTCATCTCATAGTAAGCTCAACATTCTTGTACCCTCTTTACATCATGACCTCCGCCCAAGTCAACGGCTTCATTGGGATGCAATACTCCCGTGAAGGTAGCGACTACGAAAAAGGCGATTACAAATTCTTCAATGAGCAGTACGCGACTTCATCGTATATCGATGTTCTTGATCCAAGCGGGAAACCAAGTCACGACTTGAATCCGGCTCTTATCTTGAGACCAAAGGATGATGAAGGCGTCAAGGCTGTTATTCACCATGCGGTTAAAAACAAAGTCGGCATCGCAATTAAGAGCGGCGGCCACCAGTACAGCGGTGCATCTTCTTGCGGAGGCCAGAACGTGCAACTTGATCTCAGCAACACGTACAAAGACTTGAAAATCGTCGACGTGAGCATCTTGGACAAGACCAAGACTACTGTCGCCCATGACAGAGTCCTCGTCTTCGCTGGTGTTAGCAATCAGCTACAAGACTTCCTGGCCTACCTGACCAGCCATAAGCTATTTGTTCCTACTGGACAATGCGCTTATGTATGCCTTGGTGGCCATGGCCAAACCGGTGGTTATGGCCAACTTGGTCGCAGCTTCGGCCTTCTTGGAGATTACATCGTCGATATTCGTCTGATTGACCATCAAGGCGAAGTTAAACATGTCAATCAAGGTCAGGATGCTGAGCTTTTCAATGCTATTCGTGGTGGCAGTCCTGGAAACTTTGGTGTCGTCACTCACTACACTATCTCGGCATTGAAGGCCAAGAGCTACATGGGGATCGAAAACACGATCACGACTCCCAACAATCCAAAGCCAGAAAAGTTCCAAGGGCCGCATGGAATCAAAGCTGCCTGGATTTACAGCGAGAAAGTCCTTAGGAATCTCTTGAACATTGTCGCCAAGATGTCCGATGAGGGCACCGCACCCCGCGGGTTCGACCTTTGTGTCAATGTTCTCAGCACGGACTTTGACATCACGAAGCTATTTCCTGCTCTGAAAACCGATGAGGAGTGGAAAGGCGTCCAAGATGTGATCTCCAAGTTACCTGGGCCCGTCAAGGATCTGTTGAATGGCAAATTGCCCCCTCTTATTGTTCTTTACGCTCAATGGTGTCCCGTTGGCGATCAGCAGAAGTATGACGCAAGCGTTGATGCATGGTTCCAGCAATTTCGAGGATTGAAGTATTTTCGCATTCAATTCGATGAAATTTCCGCGGACATGTCTGATATGGTGGGACACTGGTTGTTCCCCAAACGAAGAGAGTTCCCGCGGCCATATGTCAAGCGAACCTATGCCACCAACTCGAAAACTCTCGGCAAAGATGGTTGGGTTGACACCCTAGTCGAGAGACTCAGCAAGATCTGCAGTCCTTATGAGAAGCTGGATGATGCGAACCAGAAGCCGGTAGATAACCCACTGTACGATAATTGTAAGATCTCAGCCCAGATCCAGTGCTTCGGCGGAGACAATTCGATGTTCTACAACAACCGCAACAACGGAGCCGCCTATAGTTGGAGAGATTCTACTGTTCTCCAGACTGTGGACTGTTGGTACCTGAACAGGACCGATCCAAATTATAAAAAGTCGCTGGAACTCGCAAACGAATGGCAAGCAAAGAATGATAGCGTCATGATTGGTGCCAACAGCTGCTTTAGCAAGACCGATAGGCGCGTTCTTTGGGGCTCTTGGGGTGATTGGGATATGGCTAAGCCTGAGGTCTGGAAGACTTATTATGAAGATGAGGCCAAGTATCAGAGTATCGGCAAGGTCAGGGCTGCAGCGGATCCAAAGGGCACCTTTACTGCTAATCCATTTGCCGTTGAACGCCAAGAATAGTCAGATAGCACTTAGCCAGGTTATTCAGTCTTTATAACTGTCCTTTCACGCAAGTGATGTTCTGAAGTCATCTTCATAACCGTTGCTAAATTTCCGTCACCGCTAGCTCAGCTTCTCAACGAACTACAGGCCTTACACCATTACAACAGAATGTACTCCTTTTAAAGATATGATCATTCATCACCTTCATTCTCAGCCTAAAGCTTAACCTTCTAGGCGGTAGTAGTCAACCCCGCAATTCTTTGAAGGCATGATCTTCAAAGAGTCAAAATCAGCTTTTCCGAACTCTTTACCATCTAAATAAACCTATTTACTCCAGTCACACGAGTGACATAACCCATAACAGCCGGCTTGCAGGCTAGGCGGGATGAATTTAGTGAGAGAAGACGCTACGCCTGTTACAGATTTTAGAAGTCTCATGTGCCACAGATACGTGTCTTCTCAAGTTTGGAGCGGAAATCAACCGAAATGGGGGTTATTTCAAGCCCTTACGCTTGGCACGAAAATGCTGCGCCAATGGATGGCCTTTTTCGCCAGCCTGATTGTGATGGATGTGCATAGCCCCCGCAATGGCGTTGTTGGGCGTCTCACCGTCCTATCAAAGCCATCAGACCAAGTAATTATTGGCACACAGGTCTCACAATTACAAAAGCTGAAAGCACTGCGCCTCATGCGAGCGAGCCTGAAAACATCTTGGTGGATGGAGGAATCAGCCCCAGAAAACGCCTAAGTTGGAGTGTCTGGCTGTCTGGAAACCCGTTATCGACTCTAAGCAGATTTGCTGGTGAATGGAACAAAGGTATTACAATCTTTGTTAAGATACAATGGCCGAGCTGGCTCTAGCTATTGCCGGCGTTGCTGGCACAGTCGATGTCTGTATCAAGTAAGAATACCCGAGTCAGACCTCACGGCAATTTCTGACAGTTATAGGTTAGGGAAATATCTCGTCCAGGCCTATAAGGACTATGGCCAGGTCGATAAATTAGCTGACGAGGTGTCGGTAAGAATACAGATTTGCTGGTCCAGAATTGCCAGTCAGTTAGAGATTGTTAAAGAACTCGAGAGTGGCATGACCGAGGATCAGCGAGAGCTACAGTCGCACTTATTACGCATCTTGCAGTCGAAGCTCGAAGCTGCGACAATTGTTATCTCTAAACCCGATAAGCATGGTAGCCGGAAGAGATACAAGGCTCTGAATTTCCTTAATCTCCGAGAAACCCTCGAAAGCACCGTTGCCGATCTTGAGTCCTGGCAAAAGCGGTTCGAGCCATCGTGGTTCCAAATTATAAAAACCGGCCCTGCTCACACCGAAAATGTGTTGAAAGGCGTTACTCGGACCAACACACGAGGTCGAGGGGAGCCGGCTCGCGAGGGCTTGAAGTTCCGCGAAGCTTTCAACAATAGCGAGACTGTAAAGCTTGCAGAAAAGGTACTCGAGAACCTTATAATCCAAGCGATTCCGTACTGTGAGACCGAGCTTGCAGTCAAGCTGAAGGAGAGTAAATACTTTATCATTGATACGGTTTCTCGTGATACAGTTGCACTGAGGGATGCTCGAGAGCTTGCATCACGCCTTCGAGACTCGGACCCTTCCACGTTCGGGACCTTGAAATGCAAAGGAGTTGTTCAACTCACCAAGGCGCCCTTGTTAAAATTTGTCTTCAGCGTCCCAGAAGGGTATTCCAGGGTCCGCAGCTGCCGGGAACTTCTCCTCTCTGGTATTGTGCCTGAGTCACTGACAACGAGACTCAATGTCGCGCGGCAGCTTGTCAAAGCAGTTTACTATGTACATCTTTACGAATTTGTACACAAGAACATCACGCCAGAGAAAATACTCATTCTAGAGTGTCCAAGCAAAGAGAAGGAGTGTATGCTCGTAAGTCTAGCTGGGTTTCAGCTTTTCCGATATGCCGACTCGCCGACAAACAGTTCCAAAGTCGAGAAAAGAAGTCTAGTGTACCAGCATCCTACTCGAACTGGGGGAAAGACTGTGAAGTTTGTTATGCAACATGACATATACAGTCTTGGTGTTTGTCTTTTGGAAATTGGCCTCTGGCGATCGCTTGTTGAATATGATGGTGCTACTACCAGCTTATCCCCAGTCTTCTCTAACACCCAGGGTTGTCTCTCGGAGCTAGACCCACAGACCATCAAAGAGCAGTTGATGCTCCTCAGTCGTACCGAACTGAGAATGTGTATGGGTGATATATATAGTACGGTGGTTGAGACGTGCTTGACGTGTCTGGACGAGGGTAATACAGGCTTCGGTGACCCCCAGGACTTTGATAATGGGGGAGGAGTCGAGGTTGGGTCGCAATATGTCGAAAGTATCATGGATCGAATGGGCGCGCTTTGTTTTTAACAGTATTCTGTAGACTTGAGATACAAGCTCGAGAGTTTGCTTTCCTTGATTTATTACACGTCTTGAGATCTGCAGAAGCCTTTCATACATTTCTGATATCCAATGATATGTCACCGTAGTAGGCTATGTTGCGAGCGGAAAAAGCTATATGCGCTCCGAAGAGAAGTTGGAGCTTGAAAGTCAGCGTCTGCGGCTGAAAGATTGCATGCTGACCTTTCCCCCTCCTTCAACAACGCCCGATTGGATTAAGCTCGCTTTCTGGACTGGAATGTCGATGCTCTAAAGTATTCAATCGTTCAATCGTGCGTTATTCGAGTACTGTTATAATCCACGAGAACCAACATGGATAGTTCTCTTTCAGACCTAGTTCATGACTACCAACTAACCACGCGTTACGAGGGTGCCTACACTATTCACTACCATCGTGATCCTGACGCACCCCCTTCAGCCCCTCATCGTCAAGAACGGTGGAAAAAGGTTCGTACTCTTGGTCATGGTGGCCAAGGGGATGTTATCTTACAAACATGCACCGATGGAGGTCGAAGCTTTGCCAATCGCGCCGTCAAACGTATTCGACTGGAGAGTGAGAATTCCAAACGATACTACAGACGCGAGCTCGAATCCATAGTTAAGTTCTCCCATGAAAAGGTAAATCAGTGAGGAGTCCCTTGCAAACGCATCGTCTCTCGACACAGTCATCTAACATATCCCAGTACTCTCAGTATTTTGCCAAGTCCCTCGGATGGTATGCGACATCGAATAAGCTGTACATAGCTATGGAATACTTTCCAGATGGAGACTTGTATGCATACATTCGCGGTCACAGACGTCTAGCAGACGATGAATGCAGCCACATCATTAGTCAACTCCTGTCGGGTGTCGCTGTTATGCACGAAGCAGGATTTGCCCATCGTGATGTGAAGCCTCAGGTTGGTCCTGAACCAGTATTCTAGACATGACAGCTAACTTGTTGGTAGAACATTCTAGTCTATAAGATCCCACAGGACCTCGCCCCAAGTTCTTGGTGGGTGAAGCTTGCTGATTTCGGTATCAGTAAGAAGCTGGGGGCAGAGACGACCGGAACAACCCTGGCTCCAGGGACTCCATTATATATGGCACCCGAGCTCCTTCAATACGACTCTCGGAGCATTCTTACCGAGAATTACTTCAAGGCAGACATATGGGCCATAGGGATAACTGCTTTCTTCATTTTGACAAAAAGCGTACCATTCCGAAGTCAGCTTGCAATATTGCACTTTAGAGGGAACTTGGAAGACCTTGCAACTATTCTTGTTAATTTCCAAGTCACTGAGAATGCTCAGAACTTTATCGCTGAGATATTAAAACCACAACCGTGCGAGAGACCTGACGCAGAAAGGGTAAAGCAACATACATGGATTCGCCATTGGCTGCCAGAAATTCCAACGCCGGGGGCATTAAGCAGGTAAGCTTCAAATCCCCCACTTTAACCATCGTACTGAACTTCAAAGGCAGTCTACAATTTCGTCCTGTCGAAGTTCTGTTCAAGATAGCACGGGGGTAACAACAGAGATCTCGACGCTAGCCTCACAAACCATTTCGCAAAGATGGACTGGCAATTTCCATGGTCTTGACGTTTTGCCGAAGACCCGAGATCAGGTACAGAATTTATTCAACATTACTTCCAGGGTAGGAGAAATGGAAATTCCGATTGCAGAGACACAATGGATTACCGAAAAGCAAAATCATAGACCTGCAAGCATGGGTAATCTGATACGAAATCCACAAAACCCTGGAATATGGCAAGACGTTAATATCTTACAACAGCTCCGTGGTTGGATTGGCACTGGAGATATCGACATGGTTCGGTTGCTTGTGGACCGTGGAATTGATGTTAATGCTCCAGACGAAAATGGCCGAACACCACTGCACCTGTCGGCTACCATTGGCAATGTGGAGATGGCCCGTGTATTTTGTGAAGGGGGTGCAGCCATCGAAACAACAAATGAAAGTGGTCATACGCCACTTCAAGTGGCGGCGATGAAAGGTCATACAGACGTGGCCGAGCTTTTGCTTGAAAAAGGTGCTGATATCGAGGCAAGCGACAACTATGGCGGTTTCACTCCTTTGGGCTTCGCAGCAAGCAAGAACCATTCTGCTGTCACGAGACTCTTGCTTGACAAGGGGGCGAACGTTGAAGCAACAAACCAGGTTGGGCATACACCGCTTATTTCTGCTGCAAAGAGTGGTTCCGAGGCTGTGGCAAAGCTTCTACTCAATCACGGGGCTCATATTGAAGCAACCGACAAATCAGGTGGCACACCGCTCATCTGGGCTGCGAGAGCTGGATCAGAAGGTGTCATCGAGCATCTTATCCATCACGGAGCCGACGTCAATGTCAGCGAGTACTCAGGCTTCACACCACTGCGTGAGGCCAGGAAAAAAGGCCATGATGCTGTTGAGAAGATATTGCTTAAAGCAGGTGCTCGTATCGATGGAAGCAAACCAGAATTGAGTTCGTCACTCCATGAAGCGGCACAGCACGGTTACTACGATCAAATGATAATTCTTCTAAGACGGGGAGGTGCATTCATTGAAAACAAGGATGACTTTGGGCGGACACCACTGATTCTGGCTGCAATGGAGGGACATATGGACACTGCATTGCTATTACTCACGTATAGGGCTAACACGGAAGCATTCGATCACTCGAACTATACTCCTTTGATGGCAGCTTCAGACCAGGGAAGAACACCCATGGTAAACATGTTGATTAGAAATGATGCAGATGTCTTGGCGCGAGATATTGAGGGCAACACATCGATATCTTTGGCTTCACGAAAAGGACACCTTGGAACGGTTGCATGTTTGCGTAATAGCAGTTCAGTCAATCTTTCCAACAGGAGTGGCGAGACACCGCTGATTTTGGCTGCTAAGGGCGGTCATACGGATGTGGCCAAAGAACTACTTGACGCTGGTGGCGACATCAACGCCAGTGACAACAAAGGATTTACTCCGCTTATCATGGCTGCAGAACAGGGTCATGTAGAAACAGTGAAACTTCTGGTTGAGCGTAAGGCTCAACTTGACAGCACATCACTAGGGGCGCCTGCAGCCTTGATAGAGGCCGCTAAAGAAGGCCACGAAGCCGTGGTGGAGGTCTTGCTCGAAGAAGGTGCCGCGATCGAAACTATGGATGCTTCAGGGGTTACAGCGCTGGTTCATTCTGTGAGGCGTAACCACGAAGCGGTAGTGGCGCTTCTTCTCCAGATAGGAGCGAATGCTGAGGCAGAAGACGAACAATGCGAGCCTTGCTTGATGATAGCCATAAGGAACGGCAACAAAGCTATCATGGATCTACTCACGCAACACGGGGCCAAGAAAAGATGGTACTATTACCGTGCTCGTATGTCTTTAGGCTACTAATATCAATCGCTTATTTTCTTTACGGTGTACGAGTCAGAGCCAGTAATATTAAAGAATAATTTATGTAGAAGGCGGATAGGGCATGGTGGTCTAGACAAAGATAAGGGGAAAAGGCGAGAAATATCAATTGCTGGAAATCTCAACAGATAGCTCCGTTCCCTTTTTAAAGACCTTGGATGTAAACAAGGCCAGGGTGCGATCGTCGGGCTTGTATTGCAACAGGCTGCTACTAGGCAGAATTCGAACCTCGTACCCGTTTGGGAAGGCAGAAGTAGGTAAAATGATCTCAGTCGGTGCACCAATGGTAGGATCGCTGGTGAAGTTGAGCTTGAAGATACCCAAGGCCTCATCAAACCCAAACGAAGTCGGGGTCCCAGCGATGGCAGCTGGATACGCACGACTGTAGTGCTTCTCCAGCTCTGGATATGGCTTGCCCGATGTACCATTATACAGATTCTCGTATGCCCATCCTATCCAAGACACCATGTTCTCGTCAGTCGCAGACATGGCTTCTGCAAGGCTAGCCATCTGCTTATCATCGCCCATCCAAAATGTCAACTCCGTAAGGACACCGGCGGTCTTGAGTCGAATATTGTCTTTGTGTCGGTTGTAGAGTGTATCTTTCAACGGACCCAGCTGCGGTGGGTTGTAGTAATGGAATGAATGAACTGTCTTTGACCCGTCGCCGAGAGGTACGTTGTTGAAGCCTGACAGAACATCGAAGGTAGTACCCTCGAACCAGATAAGAGTATCATTGTCAACCGTGCGTATCTGTTTCGATGCTCGGTTCCAAAGGCCCTCCAGGTTTTTCCGATCCGCAACACCGGGTACAAGAATTGTTGGGTCAGCGTATGTGTCGCCAGCCCACGGTTCGTTGAGTAGATTGTATCCCACGACATTCGTAGTATCAACATACTGCGACGCCAGCTTCTTCCAATACGCGGCGAATGCGTCTCCAAGTCCATCAAAGTTGTTGTAAAGTCTCCCGAACGCATTTCCAACTGCCACGGATAAGTAGCTCAATGACCAATCGATGGTACCACATTGGGATTGAGGCGAAGGAAAGCCGTCACTATCAGTGGTAAATGGCTTGAGCTTTTGTGGAAATGGAAACCTTCTGAATCCTGTAATCCAATCCTTCTTAACGAACCACTGGCTCAATGTTAATTAGTGCAAGACTAGAGGGTATTTTGCTTACTCACATCAGGTACACCATGACCGCAAAGCTGTTTAGCCAGCACATCTTGGTGCACGTCCACCAGTACATAAATACCGTGTTCTTCCGCCAGCTTTGTCTGCTTCTTCATGATATCCAAAAAGGTCTGGTTGTACTCTCCGCGAAGTGGCTCAGCACCAGCCCAGCTATGACCAAGCCGGACAATATTCAGCCCCAAGTCGTGCATATTCTGAACATCTCGTTCGCCGAATGATGAAACACCCGGGGTCCACTCAAAAGGCCTGTACCACGGGGATTCTTTCATGACAACATTGGTTCCGTGAAAGAACCTAGTTCTTCCATACTCGTCGATGATCTGATGAGTATCCTGGTTCACATGCTTGATCCGGGCCATGTTTGGATGAGACTTGTACCAGCCCTCCGCATCTTGGGCCAATACGATTGTACTCTGAGTGCAAGATATGGCCAAAAGCCATACCGCTACAGAAGCATAGAGCATGTTAGTGGTGATAGCTATTTATTGATCGCTTGGAGTTTTGCGCCAGCCCAGCATCTGATAGGTTCAGCCACAAGACAAATGACGACAAAAATAAGTGAATCTGCCCTAAGATAGGAATTAATGGGAAAATTGGTACTTCAGTCTTATTTTATCAAGGACATTTCTTCCATTTTGTTCATGAGTATTTCTTGGGTCTGAGCTAGCCGCATCGAGTAGGTATCACTTAATAGAACCAGATATTGTTACATGCAGGAGGGGAAAGTAACCTTTCTCCACATCCAGATTGGCATTTACTGCCAAATCCATCCTAAAGCCTAATCTACGATACCAAGTAGGGTTGGTTTAATGCCCATTTGAGGCGTGAGTTGTCACTCGTGATCACCTTCCCGACTGTTGTACCGAGGTTCAGTTGACTAAAATCAGCATGTGAGAGAAGATGCAGCGAGTTCTAAGGTCAGTTGGGCTATTTTTCTACAGATTTAAAGAAATTCATTAAAGACCTGCATTAACTAATCTGCGGCGGTGACGGTACTAGATGTTGGGTGATAGCCACCTCGAGCAAGACTACCGACGCTTCCTCCTCACTTCAAAATCTCAATGTCTTCCAGCTTTTCTAGCAGTAAAAATGTCCGAATAACTTTCTACAATGAGTGGATGTCTTCCCATGTGTTCTGTTTATTACTCGTTGGAAGTATGCAATCCAACAAGCCTCTCCGATAGCTCCCAGAGCTTTCGTTCTGCTTCCTCATCAAAGATCCACACAGCGTGTCCCAGTTCAGGAGACGTTGGCTCTACACCCGGTCTGACCAGTCTCTCCTCCACAAAATCAGCCAGATACTTCCCACCACGTCCCTCCCAGTCCTTACTAACTGCCGCATAAACAGTCGTGGCAGCGCCCTGAGCTTTGTTCCTCAAAGCATTCTTGATAGGTCCATCCAAGTCGATCGTGCTGAGGTCAATATACTTACCCAAGTTGGTGAGTATATATCCAGGATGCACTGACAAGCCATGGATGCCTTGGTTTGCATATCGCCTGTCAAGCTCGGATGCGAAGTATATGTTCGCTGTTTTGGATTGAGCATATGCCAGCCAGGGATTGTAAGCATCCTTCTCGAAGTTGTAGTCATCCCAGCGTATACCACCAGCGCGGTGACCTTTTGACGCAAGGGAGATAACACGAGATTTGAAAGAAGGCGTGGTGGCTGCAAGAAGAGCTGGTTTGAGAAGCTGGAATAGAAGAAAGTGTCCAAGATGGTTTGTCCCAAATTGGGTCTCGAATCCATCTTCAGTTTTACCCTCAGGGGTAGCCATGACTCCGGCGTTGAGGATGAGAATGTTCAGCTTGCCAACTTTCGCCAGGAAGTCTTTCACTGCGGCTCGTACAGACTTGAACGAGTCCAGCCTCAGTTCGATTCCGTGAACAGGTGCATCAGACTTTGCTTCCGGCCATGAGACAATGTCTTTAATGCCCTGCTCGATCTTCTCTGGAGTTCTTGCAGTGATGTAAACCGTTGCTCCGGTTGCGTGGAGAGCTCGGGCCGTCTCCAGACCGATGCCTTGATTGCCGCCTGTGATGAGGACGACCTTGTCGGTAAGTTTGTTGAGAAGGCCCTCATCTTTGACGATCTGGAGTGCTGTGGGTCTTGCGTCCCCGGGACCCTGGGGGTTTATGTGAACTTGAGCATAGCGAGACATGGAGGAGATATTGTGGTGCTTGGTTGGCGAACTTCTGAAGACGTGGTGAGTTTCGTACACAGAAGCATGTAGACTTGCTTCCAATAACCTTTTATAATTCATGGCCTCCAAATATTCTCCAGTCATGGCGTCAGTGTTAGTCCTGGCTTGATCATCGGGCTCCACCTCTCGGCAATGAACTTGGGTGGGTTCAGGGTATGCACGGGGCGCTCAAGCGTTCATCGTCAGCCAGAGCCACGATTGAAACAGCATAGTATTGTACTGCAATAGAGTAGTACCGGATTGCAATTAGTGTAGCTTAGAGTTTGCAAATCTACGATTGGCTGGATGATGTGAGCCACTTGGCTTACCTGATAAGTCCGGACTTTTGATTGTGCGACTACCCTGGCTCGAGCGACCGAATGGCTGACATCAGCCTCTATGGCATGCTTAAAAATCAAGGATAAATGGACAAGGCACCAAGAGCAGTATTCTGATTACCGCGATAATTAATTCGTCGAAAACCCTGTCACGCGCCATTGGAAATCACTCCATCGCAATGGTTTCACACGCCGACAATGGAAATGCAGATTACAAACGCTGTATAACTATGGTGTCTTAGTTACCGTACTTGGCAAATTGTACTTCAGAAGACGCTGAAGATGCACTCCCTCTCGGTACGTGCTGCAGATCACTCGATCCTTCGCCCTCCAAACTACCTCTATCATGTACGCCATGACCCGGATACCGTTCGCTATGGACTGATATCTCGGTTGTCTTGACCAGACTCGACTCATTGCCGAATACACGATGACTCTCTTCACCCTTCCCAACACGAACCTCATACTCTCCAGTAATTGTTCCCTGAGGCCCAGTATGCTTCCGCCGGTCGCGATTCAATGTCTCCAAGCCTACATCATCATGGTGGGTGGCATTGTGACTGCGACCATAAGAGCTCTCGTTCCTTCCACGGGTAAGCTCGACGAGACGGTTGAGGATGCTGAACTCGAGCTTGAGCTTGACGCTGTATACGAGTGGTTTCCAGGCGGTCTGGATGTCGAAGAGATTCGCGAATTCGAGGGCGAGGATGGAGACGTCGAGGAGGATGACGAGGACGTTGACGATGAGAAGGTGATTCAGTACCATGCGTGTCTTGGTGTTGCCGACGCTCTTCTCTAGTCTGAGGCGCTTGCTTGTTTCCCAGACGTAGAGACCCGAGATGATGAGCTCTTGGACAAAGAAGACACTAAGCTGGATCTTCTCAAAAACCTCATATGGCTTTTGGAAGGGCTCCGGGTTCGAAGATCCGACTCCATAGACAAGGATGATCACAGGGAGATGCAACCAGGTGGCATTGACGATGATCATGTACAACACCATCCTCAACCTCTTCTGGTTATGCATAACAATATGCAACCTCGAGTACAAAACAACAGACTGTCCCGTGATCATGGTGCACCACCCGATAAGTATAAGCGTCGAGTAAAGATATTTCTGCGCCGACAGCGACAGGTGCAGGATGAGGTAACCCGTTCCATTGAAGGCAATGCCCCAAGTCGCGATGACTAAACTCCAGAAGTAAAGTCCGCTTCGTCTCTTGAAGCTGCCGAAGATGTAGGCATTGAGCTCGAGGACATTATAGAAGGCAATGCTGATGAAGACGCAGATCACGATTGCGACAGCGCCGTTTTTGGTGTTGTCGGCCATGTCATTTCGGGGCGGTGATGGGACGGGGGTAGAGATCGATCGGCAGACCAGGGAATAAATGAGCGAATTGAATAGAAGGAAAGGAAGCGATGCGCTGCTTTAGCAGTAACTGGATCAAAGATGACAGAACCAACAATAATTTGTTGGCTGCCGGTGCTGCAAAGGTCTTAAGTAAAACCGACAACACCATCTTTTCTCAATGCCCTTCTTCCCTCCCTCCAGTGGCGGTCTCACCATCAAGTTTCCTCCTTCCATATCACGCAACTGACAAGTTCCATGCTAAGCTCATTTGGTGACTGGATCTTTTGCTCTGATAAAGTTCAAGGTTTGGCAGTTTTGGCTAATCAAACTCAAACTCTATTTTTGTGCATGTTGGTTCCATCCCTGCCTCAGCTGTTGAAGGGGTGCATGGGCTGATACCCCAGTTGTACTGCGATCGGCTTCTTTTTACTCCGTAAAGAAGAAGATCAATACCAAGGGTATCGTTACCAATGCAGTGGTAAAGATGAGATGAATCCTGAGATCTGACATATCTGCATCGTTTGTTCTTCAAAGTGAAAAAGATCGTCAATTCGCTCACGCATCATCTCGGAAAGTTCCTTGGCCATATGCCGTAAGAGTGCGTCACACCAGGCTTTCACACCTACTCGATTGAGCAAGTCGTAATGTTCACAGCAGGGACCTTTCCCAAGCGCAAGCCACAATCTCAGCTGGTGTCTAAAACACCTCCAATCGCAATGCTTTCCCTCGCTCGTGTCCGTTATTCAGCGGCACTTTCGGTCGGTGATTAATAAAAACAACCCTTATTGTTGGGACATGTGCCGCTGCCAAGGAACGGGAACCACATTGTGTAGTTGTGGCGTGGCTGCAGGTTACAGGAGGTTGTGTTGGTTGTTAGTGGTCAGCTCAGTTCGATATTGATTCCAAGGCCCCTGTAGACATGGTTCATACCGATTCTTCCAGGGCAGTTCCCTTCCATTCTCCGAGTCAGCCCTGTCCGGAAGACACGTCCAGATCCCCGAGCCAGTCTAGAACTCACTCAATCGTAAGTTATTCTCCCCCTGCTCGACGGACCAACATCTGCTTTCCTTTTTTTCCCTCTCGGCTACGTAACTCTCCCAAACTCTAAACATGCTAATCTCCCCACATTCTACTACCCCGATCCCCAGTGCCGAAGCGCTGATTGACCCGCGTAAGCCGGCGACCCACGCTAGCTTAAGCTTAACGCTGCAGATCTTGCACGTTCTTGGAGAACAACCCCGAGACAACCCTCGTTAATGCCTCGTCGCTGTCATTTCAGGCGGAGATGATGAGTTCGCAGCGACTGATTCATTGCGCATATTAAAAGTGTCTCAGTCAGCTCCATCCTTTCTCGGAGACCTGTCACACCAAACTTTCATTCGTCATGCCTTCTACCATTTCTGTACTTGCTGCGGGGGTTCTCGTGCCCGTTTTGGGTGCGGTGGCTGCTAAGCTTCCTTCTACGGCTCAAATTATTGACCAGAAGTCCTTTAATGTCTTGAAGGATGTGCCGCCTCCCGCAGTGGCCAATGACTCTCTGGTATGTCACTGCAGCCTTGTCGCTCATTCTTACTAATGATTTTGAGTAGGTGTTCACTTGGCCTGGTGTGACTGAGGAGTCTCTTGTTGAGAAGCCTTTCCATGTCTACGATGAAGAGTTTTATGACGTCATCGGAAAGGACCCCTCTTTGACCCTCATCGCAACATCGGACACCGACCCAATCTTCCATGAGGCTGTCGTATGGTATCCCCCTACTGAAGAGGTCTTCTTTGTCCAGAACGCTGGCGCTCCCGCTGCTGGCACTGGCTTGAACAAGTCTTCCATCATTCAGAAGATTTCCCTCAAGGAGGCCGACGAGGTCCGCAAGGGCAAGAAGGATGAGGTCAAGGTCACGGTTGTTGACTCAAACCCTCAGGTTATCAACCCCAATGGTATGTCAGCCTAGCGATCCGCATTGAATGTCGACTAATTTTCTGCCTCAGGTGGCACTTACTACAAGGGCAACATCATCTTTGCTGGTGAGGGCCAAGGTGACGATGTTCCCTCCGCCCTGTACCTGATGAACCCTCTCCCTCCTTACAACACCACCAGTGAGTCGCAAACATACTCAGACGATAATATTTGAAGCTAACCCTAGTCAGCCCTCCTCAACAACTACTTTGGTCGCCAGTTCAACTCCCTCAACGACGTCGGTATCAACCCCAGGAACGGTGACTTGTACTTCACCGATACCCTCTATGGATACCTCCAGGACTTCCGTCCCGTTCCTGGTCTGCGAAACCAAGTCTATCGTTACAACTTTGACACCGGCGCCGTCACTGTCGTCGCTGATGACTTTACCCTTCCTAACGGTATGTCTTTTCGTAATGGTAGAGTCCACGCAACTAATATTGATCAGGTATTGGCTTTGGCCCCGACGGCAAGAAGGTCTATGTCACCGACACTGGCATCGCTCTCGGCTTTTACGGCCGCAACCTCTCTTCACCCGCCTCTGTTTACTCCTTCGATGTGAACCAGGACGGTACTCTCCAGAACCGCAAGACCTTTGCTTACGTCGCGTCTTTCATCCCCGATGGTAAGTCTCCTCTGGCCCGCTGCAATGTCATGTACTGACCCCTCCAGGTGTTCATACCGATTCCAAGGGCCGTGTTTATGCCGGTTGCGGCGATGGTGTCCATGTCTGGAACCCCTCTGGCAAGCTCATTGGCAAGATCTACACCGGAACTGTTGCTGCGAACTTCCAGTTTGCCGGTAAGGGAAGGATGATCATTACTGGACAGACCAAGTTATTCTATGTTACTTTAGGGGCTTCGGGTCCCAAGCTCTATGATTAGATATGTTCGCTTCTCTATACTTGGATAGATAATACATGGCATTTACATTTGTCGCGTCAATCCAACCAGCGCTATGGTCCTCAACTTGTCGTATCTTGTTAGAAGCCTTTGTGGGAGCCCTCTTCTACATCGTCGAAACTCAAGAGTGTATAAAGGGTTTTTGAGTCGAAATAGGCATACTGCTACAGTTCAGTCAACCCAAATCTTTCAGCTTCAAAGAATCAGATCATGGATGCATTTTTGTGACCCTGCTCTCTCCTATAAATTTGTAGAAGGCCTCAATCTCATCTGACCCAATGAGCTTATAGTACTTGGCCCCGGGTGAAACCTGCATATACACGTCAGAAATATAATCTAATTATATTGGGACTCCGCGCTGTCCAGACTTCATTCATCCCTTTACTTTTTAGTCTTTCATGCCAATCAAACCTCAATTGAAACCCAAAGAGTCGGCGTTAGATTTGTCAACTGCGGTTACAACCCCAGCCTATAGCACGCCATGGTTCATGACGAACCTTGAATAGCTCCGATCGAGCCCTGTACAGCTTTTGAAATGGAGAATACCATCATGGATTTCGACCTCAAGGCGCAAAAAGAGGCCGACGACACTGTGACGCTGGTCAACAATTGTTATGCGAGTACTACCTGGAGGACACGACTCCAACCCGAGGACTCAGCAGCATATGCATGCAGGTGGGTTTATCACATCAATTCCAGTTCAATTGAGAAGTAGACTTATCAACTGCAGCCATGTAGCAACCAGTCACTATACGTTCGCGGAGTTTGTGGCAAGTAAGATCTCAATTCCTCTTGATCGTATTGCTGACTGTCCTTACTACCTAGCTATGGGGATACATGCGATCTATAAGGTTAACCTTTAGGCTGCAAACACAGGTAACAAATAAGAACACGGTATTTTTTGCCTCAATATAAGCTTTTACCCATAAGCTTTCACGATAACCATTATATCTTGCTGCAAGCCCTAAGGCATTGCAAGGTAAAGAGATCAAGAGGTATATAAAGGGATATAACCTCGGGTTTGCATCTCTCCTTACTACCTAGACTAGAGTTTGTGACCTTCTTCTTGACCACAAGCCCAATGACCGCGACAAATTCTCTCTAGACTACGGAGAGTCCCGAGACGACATGAGATCAAGAGCTCGCAAGGGCCATTTGTGACTCTCTATGATGAAGATCAGACAGAGAATCTGCTAGGGATAGCTGACTTGGAACAAGCCAGGCGTGATATTTCAGCGTTCGTCTCAATCCCCACAATCCATTTTCATACTCTGGACTTTCAATCATTTCCTGAGAACTCCTATCATGTGAGATCTCTACTTCAGTATCACTATAGGTCTGGGATGCACAATAAAACCGTTCAGAAATCCGAGTTTGACCTTTCTTCGATACTCGATGGCATTCGTTCTCCTTGTGTCCGAGAGATGTGGTGCTTAGCACTTGATGGCAGTATGTCGACGCCATATATGCTACCTTATACTCATCATATTCCTAGAAAGTAGCACAGAGTCTCGCAAAGGCAATGGCTAGTTCCGTTTCTGCCACTGTGATCAAAAGTAAAGCACCAGGATCAGGAGACACCCCGGGTACTAGGAGGGACAACTTAGGTCATGACCGACAAACCCAGATCTTCGAAGCTCTACAAGGTAAGTCTCAGCTGAGAAATAGACAGCTGACCTATGATATTGAAAAGCTGCAAGATGCTACAGAATGACTAAAGTCTCGGGTATTTTCTAACGTCAAATATCGAACATGATACTAATAATTTAATCAGGCTGCCTTGTACATAAAGATCAAAGCCGAAGACCAAAGTGTAGCAATCTACGTCTTTACTCTTGTCGCCGTTGTCTTCCTGCTACTTTCATTTGCAACGAGCTATATGGGAATGAACACAAGTGATATCAGAGACATGGAGCAAGGGCAATGGGTCTTTTGGGCTGTTGGAGGGGCACTGACGGTCGTGGTGCTGCTTGGTGTTTGGGCTATTACATATCGGGGTCTTTGGTGGAAAAAAGCGCGACAGGCTCGGAAGCTTTTACATATGGATTGAAGCAGAGGCGCCGGGACCGACATATGAGATGCGATTGCATTTGAGTCGTACCAAGCAAATGACCTATTCAGCTATTCATATGAAACTTTTATTCTTTTGGGCGATTTCATACAAGTAGAGGACTATTCTAAAACTTTACCTTTATCCTACAATTTTACCGCCTGCTTTATGAGTAGGGCTTCTGTTGGGTCTGGTCCACGAGTAGGCCTACTTGATTGTTTCTAAAACAAATATGTAGAGGAATGTCTTAGCACAAGGCAACTACATGCTTACTTAGATACATGGACGATCAGTATTTAACTTAGCTTATATCTTTCGATCGATTTGGAGCTTTGTGAGACGGTGGGGTTGAGATAGTGTAAGACAAGAAGAGAGAAGTCACTGATAAGCATTTGTACATGGTGACAAAAACATGTGACCATATGCGGGCGACAAGTGTCGACGCAGCTTTCACTAATCTAGCCAAACTCGCACAAGCACCGTAGCCATTTGTTGCTTTTACTAAGGAGTTGCGATGGCTAAACTGGCGGATGCATCGGAACCTGACCTCAAGTTCTGTTTAGGTGTGCTCTACATCACTGATACAAAGGGTACCTGGTCGCTCTCCAGCCGATACAGGACAGGACATTGACCCTAACAGCTTTACCAGCGGGTCAAGATAAATTTCTCTTTTACATCATCAATGATAAATGCTCTCCCACGGTCTATATACAGATAAATCCCACAATTTCAGTATACCAACACTGGTGATGTGAGAACTAGAGGATGTAAGTCTAGTATATTCATGTCAATTTAACAGCACATCATATCTACAAGAGGTCCGAAATATTGGCGCCAGCCTCTTGGACATTAGTAGCCCACTTTCCAGGAGTAGTCTGTTCAACGGATCAGCAGACATCGCTAGTAGCAGTCAGAGCTCACTTACCTGAAGGTAGAGAACACCATCTTCGACAACAGATTCGTTATAGTTCCCTTTCTTCAATGCGCTCACAGTACGAAGGGCGATTTCAGCGTTACTGACAACATCAAAGAACCCTTCTTGAAGCATGTCATCGCCCGGAAACTTCTGCGACTCCAACTGCGAGACAAGTCCATTGAAGTAACCATGAACGGCATTGCCAAAGTTGTTCTCCCAATGTTTTATAAGTGTCGTGCCAGGCCGTTCGCTCTCGGATTTGAGCGCTGCGTAGTTCTCCTCCAGCCGAGGGTCGAGCTTGACAGGTTGACCAAGGATCTTGGCAACTTTGGCTTCGATCTCGCTCTTGTTAGGATACCAGTATTTGGCGAGCCCTTCTTCAGCAACGAAGCTCAGCTTGTTTCCGCCACTGATAGAAGCATCATTGAGAGCCTTCTTCAGGTTGTTATCAGCGACAGCTTCGCTGATGTTCGAGCCTAAACCGGTGGGAGCTACGAGGATTCGAAGCTTTCCGTCCTTGATATCGCAAGAACAGTATTTGAAGGTTGCGGAAGGGTCAACTTCGATGGTCAGGACGTGAGCGGAGGCAAGGGTATTGACGTTGGACTTGATAGACTCCTGAGACCAGTCAAGGCAGGTGGTAGCTCGAGAGATGTACCTGGAACGTTATCAGGATCAAGGTGTAGACAGAAATTGGAATTAGGTAGACGTACTCGTTAAGCATACTTCCAAAGCTGTTCTTGGCATATGAGGACTCTGCATACGGGTAAATTGACAAGGGGTCAACGTCGATGGTCCAGGCTACGCCTAGGAGAGCCTTTGAGAGCTTGGCTTCTAGGTTTGGTTTCTCCTGCTCAAACTGATCACGGACTTTTCTGTGTCAGCGGGAGAAGGCATATGTGCATGTCTATACTTACCGTTCTTGCGAACCATCAGAGATAGTTTATCAGCACGAGGGAGCGACATCTTGTCAGCAAGATCACTGATGTTTGACACAATGTTTCGAAAGCTGTCCATCGGTAAAGATTAGTAGTGCAGCGGATGAGCGAACTGGTGGGATGGTAGGTGACCTAGATGCAGACTTTATAGCCTGGTGAACCTAAACACGAAACCATGAGTAATGGTTTGACGCAGAGGAAAAGGTAACGAAGATCATAGCCCAATGCAGGAATCGCCGTGAAAGAACCAAAGTTTGCCTCCCTGTCTTCGTCTCTAAAGAATAATACTGACCAGAGGAAAAGGAAGATGGCATACATACCTGGGCTATGCCAAGATGCGCTTCTGGTGTCCTCCGTGACTAGAGCTAGTGACGATTCGTAAGGCGACGAGGCGGAATTGATCCGCCAGATTACCCTAGTATAGAGCTAGCCTGCAGCCACTTTTCACTAAGTCGACGCGCTATACCCACTGTTCCGCGGGCATCAATGGTAGAAAACCTCCGCATCTGCCGAACTTCCGCTCACATGCAGTTGGATGAGGTTTCTAAGGCTAGGATAATCGGAACTCTCGGCTGGGAAGTGTATTTGGGACTTCGGTACCGGTTACAACTAACCAAGTCCGTATAACAAGCCTCTCATCTATCTCGTATGTATCGATGAGATAAGCCATCGTCTCCCACGTGTTTGAGGCTGCAAGATACTCCGTTTCGCTCCTTGTCTGCCACACTCATTACGTAGACCAATACAGTCTATTATAAGTATAAAGCACACCGCTCCCGCTTTGCAATTCCGAAGTTGAGAGATGGTGCTTCTAAAGAGTATATAGATGAGCTCACTGGTCGTAAGGTCGAGCTTTGGGCTACTGGTACGAATGATAAGACCGTGATATTGCGTAAGGAATCGTTCCAATAGAAATCAAGCATTGATTCACCGAACCTTGAGCAAGCTTTCTTTAAAACAATCTAACGCGTATTAGGCATGCATTGCGACAAATCAAGCAAAACGGTTCTGGGTAGGGCTAAACTAATAACCATGGCACTCAGTGGTGGAAGATACATGACTGGCGCACATCGAAATC